TGCATCAGTGCAGTTCCCCAGCCTGCTGAGATAACTTGCAGGGAATGATAAACACTTTTTAGTTCTAGAGTATCTTAGGCATGATGTGGAATATGTATATTAAAAGGCTATGCTTATGCATTGTAATAAAGCCCAAGAAATGAGCTCACCACTTCTAGTCATAAAACATTCTTCTAAGGGTAAAACCAAGTTTAGAAAAACCCTAGCAATGTCATCTGGTCTATCTTTTTACTTTCTTGTAGAAATGAATTATAACAAGCACACTTTTTTTCCTAAGTTTTTACGTACTCATCCCAAATTCTAATCTCTAAGAAAACACAGCATAATTTAGTGCAAATATGACCCACTGGTCTGTGCAGCAATTAATTTTTAAGGCCAGTTGCGGATCCTTCATGACGTGAGGGTGCATTTACACTCATTGTTCATCTGAGACAGATTCCATTGTTGTTCTAAGTAAGGCAACAACTCAAGGAGATGACTGGGAATTGCCGTGACTGAAGCAGAGGTATGGGTCCACATTATCCTAAAGCTGAAGAGGCAAGCTCAACACATCATTTGAATTCAATGTATAGGTGTCCTTGGCATTGTACGATGGCAAGTAATTGAACCTTTACAAATAATCTTACTTTCAACCAAAGATGCTATCTTTTTAAAAAAATGTTTATTTATTTCTTCCACAAGTGAGTGAGACAGAGAGAATGAGAGACAGAAAGTAAGAGAGAGAGCAAGAGGGAGAGAGAAGGGAACAGAACCCCCAATAGGGTTTCAATCATGGCATTGATTGACATAGCCCCAGATAATGGGCACAGGTATGCCTTGAACACTCAGGGAGGTTTCTAGACCTGAACTAGATTTCTGGACCTTGCCCATGTGGGATTGTCCCACAGAGCATTGGCATTTTAATGCACCACTGTCTGCCCCCACAAAATGCTATTTTAAACAAACCTAAGTATTTTCACTAAGATTTTGTATCATTCTTAATATTTTACTAGAAAATTTTTTTTCTATTCAGTAGTTTTATAAAAAAAAAAGCACTGCTACTTTAAAATTATGATTTATTGGTGGTGTTTTTATTTTTTTTTTTTTTTGCCAGTTGGTAGTTTAGCTGTTGAAGTGGCTGGATCCCACGTGACCAATTACACTATTCAAGTCCTGGACCCGGTGGCTTAGAAAACACTCCGTGTGTGTGTACATGCCCCACATCAGAAAGGTGAAATGAAGAAGGAGTTGTGACGTGGCCATCCTCTGTGAAGGATGCTCTCTCACTCTCTCTCTCTCTCTCATGAGCACACATGTCCTCTAGCAATCTGTTTTTTTTTCTTTTTTTTTTTTTTGGAGAGTTTTTTTTTTTTTTTTTTGCTATAGGGCATGTGCACTCACCAGAAAGACAGAGAGAGAGACAGAATGCAAGAAATACCCCCCCCCCCCGGGGTATAGCCACGCTGTAATCCCTTCTCTTCCATTCTCCTCTCGGGATCTTGGGTATGCACACACACGCACCTGGCGTGAGTTTAAGCTGCCAGGTCTGGGACTTGAACTGCGGTCGACTATGTGGGAGTCCAGTGACATAGCCATTACGCTAACTGCTGGTCCCTCTAGCAATCTTTTTAATTATGATTTTTTTTTTTGGCCAATATTTCTTGAGATTGGTTTGAATTCACTAATTTACTAGATTTTTCTAACCTAAATAGGCAATGGTAGACATACATGACATTGATAGTGTCTAGGGGTAAATTTGAATCCTTTAATGATTATGAAATGGTTAAATATTATTTCTGCTAAATTTGTTCTTAACACCTTTGGTGATAGATTTTACACTGCTTTAGTTAGTGGTTAGCACTTGGAAAATCACAATGAATTGATTTGTAATCTTATTCTTTTTTTTTTTCTAAAGGAATTCCTGTAAGAAAAGATGTTCTATTATCACCAGCAGCTATAACCTTCAATTGCCCTGATACAAAACCTTTTCCTCGTGTTACTCAAGAATGCCTGCTTTCAAGCATCATTACTCACTCCATTGTCCAAAACAATGTCCATGTTGCTTTTATTTCTGGGATTTCAGCAGGGAATAAAATACTCTAGCTAAAATAAAGAATCAGATTTTTAGTTAACCACCCAAAGGAATGTTATATTACTTATTATATTGTGCCACTTCCACACATAAATTCCTAGATGCAACCACTAATCAGAGCTCCAGCTGCTATTGTTTCATGATCGCTTATTAGACATACATGATAGACCAGAAACTGGGGTACAGACATGAGGAGGATAAACATAGTACTGTACAATGTGGAAAATACAATTTGTGGGGAAGACCTCAGTTGATTTATCTTCCAAAGATAAAGTACTATGAGAGTGAGGAAATAAAGATCAGCTAGAAACGTGAAGATTGTAAGTTCTGTTATTCTTAGGCAAAAATAAGGGTGAAGGTCATTGCTGGCAGGAGAAATAACATGTGGGAAGGCCCAGGGGAGAGAGAGAACAGTGTCTGTTTGAGGAAGTGGGAGAAGTCTAACACTGGCTGGACTGCAGAGAAGGGTTTGCTCTATGGATGTTCTTAGCTCCCCCTCAATTTTCTATTGTCTTTCTTATTACTTTTTAATTGCCAGAGAGCATGAACACTCACCAGAGAGACAGAGAGAGAGAGAGTGAGCATACCCCAATGGGGCGTGATCATGCCACGACCCTTTCTCCTCCACTGCTGCCTCCTGACAGGATTTAGAGCACACATGCACATGTGCCCAGTGTCTTTTGAACTGCTGAGACCAGGATTTGAACTATGGTTGGCCATGTGGGATCTGGCTCTTTTAACCAGCAGGCCATAGCACTGGACCCCTACTTTCCTTATTGTCCTGTAAAGTCTTACAACTATTCTCATTACTTTACGGAACTGAGTTCAAATAGAAGTCTTTATCTCATAGCACTTAACCTGATTAAAAATGTTTGTTAAACTAAAGCACTGACTCTAGAATACAAATTTGTTTAGAATAGAAAATTGTTTTCTTTTCCTGATTGTCTATGACTCCTCCCAGGATTTTGGGCATGCATGCACACCTACCTGGCACGTATTTCAAGCTACAGGGTCCAGGACTCAAACCATGCTGTTGGCTGCATGCGATTCAGCCACCTAAACTATTATGCCACTGATTGGTCCCCTGTTTAGATTTTTTTAAGGGTTTTTTGTTATAAGGCATGTGTGCTCACCCAAGAGACAGAGACAGTGAGAGGGAAAATGAGAAATCACCCCCCAGGAGGGATAGCCATGCCGTAACCCTTTCTCCATTCTTCTCTCAGAATTTTGGGCATGCACACACATGCATCTTGCGTGACTTTCAAGCCACTGGGTCCCGGACTTGGACCATGGTCAGCCATGTGAGACTCCATAGTCTTAACCACCATGCCACCTATTGGTCCCCCAGTTTAGATTTTTAACGTAAGTGATTAAGTATAACTCTTGTTTTTTGTTTTTGTTTGTTTGGTGACAAGGAATCTGACTGTCAATTTTCATTTTCCCTTAGCATAAACAGTAGCTATGATTTGAACTTAAAGGCAAGAGGGCGAAGGAATGAATATTCTTGTGCTGTCATTATGATTTGGTTTGAAATAGTTCCATATAATCCTGTCTAACTATTCCCTTGTATCTGAGCTATAAATATAAATATCATATGAAAATCAATGACTATTATGACTTTAGAAGTGATGGGAGATGTATAGTTAACTCTGAACCATCATGGCATAAGGAAGATTGTGGACTATTAGGTCAAGTAAACTTAGGTTTGCAGCATGATTCTTCTGCCTTCACTTTTCATTTTAAAAATTTTTTTAAAGAGATTTTTGCCTTAAGGTGCCAGTGCTCACTGGAGAGAGTGAGACAGAGGCAATGAGAGGGAAAGTGAGAAATCACCCCCCCCCAGGGGGGATGGCCATGCCACAATCCCTTCTCCATCTTTCTCCTTCTGGGATCTTGGGCATGTACACACACATGCCCGGCATCATTTTCAAGCTGGGTCCAAGACTCAAACCGCAGTCAGCCATGTAGGAGTTCAGTGACATAACCATTATGCCATCTGCTGGCCCTGCCTTCAGTTTTCTTACCTCTAAAATGAGTAAAATGATTCTTACCAGAACTATGAAGATTAAGGATAATGACTGAGTGCAATACTTTATACATAAAAGGTACTTCATAGAAAATTTTATTTTCCATGGGACTAGCAGTTGGTGGAATGGCTATGCCACTGGACTCCTATGTAGTTGGCCACAGTTTGAGTACCAGACTTGGTAGCTTAAACTCATGCCAGATGCATGTGCATGCATGCCCAAGATCCTGAGAGGAGAATGGAGGAGAAGGGATTGTGGCATGGCCATCTGCCCTGGGGGGTGATTTCTCATTTTCAGTCTCTCTGTCTCTCTCTCTCTTTCTGGTGAGCACACGTGCCCTATAGCAAAAACCTCTCCAAAAAAAAAAAAAAAAGAAAATTTTATTTTCCATCCTAGTAATAGCTGCCTATCCTAGCTTCCCAAAGTAAACCCAAGGAGGCAATGGGCACAAGAGGACTTTTTGAGAAACAGTTGTCTTAAGAGGTTATCTCGTAAATTTTCTCAAGTGATTTCTAGAGGAGCAAGAGACTCAGAAATAATTTTTCCTTTCATTCATGAGATGACCTCATACCCAAGTGGTTTTGTTGGCAGCAACATTAATTACTGTGAAACCTAGTATTACCAAAGGAACCTCAGGGACTGCTCTTGGCTGGTAACTTAAGCTGGAGTTCACAATGACTGAAAGAACATAGCTTGTTTCTGCTTAGGGAACCACAGTACTTACTAGGATTCACGTTTTACAGGTGGTGGTTGTTTGTTTCCCTCCCTACTCAGAGGCTATGGTTAATTCTATACCCAAAATGACCCATCAAGAAGTGTCAGTGTGAGTGTTTTACAAAGTAGGCTGGAGTTACAACTAAATTTAGAACTCAGACAAGTTTTCTTGTCTGAATTGCTTCTAGGATGGTCTTTTATAACCCAGAAGCCATTTTTATTCAAGAAGAGCCATGTGGTTTTCTCAAGCAATTTCTTGGTTAGAAATGTCAACAAAATGGGTAAGTTTGTTTTTCCTTTCCCTCTGCAATTTCCATGCCTCACAAATGTTTTCTGGTAGCACGTATATCACGCAAAGCTGTTTCAAAGTCAGAGTTGGAGACAGTGCTAATGGTAGGAGCAATTGCTAAGGGTCTGAATGCCAAGAAATAATAATATTTTTCACCCCTACATCCTCAGTTTCTAATATGACCTAATGTGTGAAATGCTGCTGGTCTGCCTTACAGATGCCTTTCAGAAATACTCAACAGGAGTCCGGGGGATGCTGGAAAGGCTACGCAGTTGTATTCCCCACAGATCATTTCAACATCCTTAATTTGAACTGGTCTCTGGTCTGGCCAGTGTATTTGACCAACAACCCACAAGAAACGTTCTCTGACTTTATTTTATTCATCTGATGACGCCTGCATGCAAGGCGCTCATGTCGAAGCGAAACTGGGCAATGGGTGTAGCAATTTACATGTCTTCAGCAAACTTTCATCCCAGGGCCTCAAAGGACCTGCCAGATATTAAAATATTCCTATAGAAAGACTGAGGCAAGTTCTCAGTAGATAATAAGAGAGATCCGGGAAATGACATGCAAAGCTTAGATCAACTTCTCACCTACAAATAACCCAGGATGGAGCCTGGATTTAACTCCATTTCCTCGTTGGTCCTGTGGGCAGCTTTTTGAGCAGTAATGCAACACAGATGCCCCGGGGCGTCAGGGCCTCCGTTCCTACACATTTTGGGAAGAAGTATTCCAAAGTATTGACTTAAATTTTTCCACTACAATTTGTGGTCCTTTTATGTTTTATTCAGCAATTACACAGCTTAGCTTCTATGCTAATATTTGACTATCACCAAGATCCATATATTAATATTTGTTTTATTTTACTTTATTTGCTCACTGTTTCTTGCCTTCTTTGTTTTATTTTAGAAGTAATATTGCAGATTTTTTTCATTATTATCTTTTTATTTGTACAGTCTAACCCTTGCTAACATGCATTGATGCAACTTACTTATATCAGCCAATAAGACATTCTTAGAAAAAAAGCAAATCAAAACTTTTGAGTTCAATTCTGGAAAGAAGTCATGTTTTCTAGTTAAGGCTGAAAGTTTTATTTTCTTCTGTTTGATTTTCCGATGATGTCACTTTGTGTTTCCGTGAGAGGCTAATTTTTGATTTAAGGACTGATAAATGTTGACAATGCTAAGAAAGAATTTTTAATGTCATTTTTTTAAAAAAAAGTCTATACATTTTTCTCCCCTAACAGAGAGAGAGGAAACAAGCACCCTCAACAGGGCCTCATGCTCTGATCCCTACTCCTCTGCCCTCAGCATTGCCCCAGCCTTTCCAACTGGTCAGGATTACAGGCACGTCAGAACTCCTGATGTGTACATGGTGCTCTGGGAATCAAACTCCGATCTTCCACATGGCTTCCAGCATTGCAGTGTCACTCTACTACCATGCCACTGCAGCTGAGCCAAATTGTTGATGTCTTGACCAAATGGAAATCCTCAATGTCTTAGTGTCCATTACGTTTCGTTAATGTTTCCTGAGAGAGAACTGTGTGTCAGGTGCTAACCTGGTTCTAAGAAAACCGTCCTGATCAGGCCACTGTTTTGCCTGCAAGGAGTCCAATATAATAATGGCACTGACAATACGATTTGCATGTCTTACTTTCAGAGATTATCCTGCATAGGAGAGTCACAATTAGGACAACTAGGTAATGCACAAATGAAGTGGTTAACTAGGTAACTAGGTAATGCACAAATGAAGTGGTTAACACTATTTTTTGAAATGACATTAGCTCCCCTTACGTCAGTTCCTTATCTTCTCCCCACCACTCTCTCTCTCTCTCTCTCGTTCTTCAGAGATTATACTGCATAGGAGAGTCGCAATTAAGATAACTAGGTAATGCACAAATGAAGTGGTTAACACTATTTTTTGAAATGACATTAGCTCCCCTTACGTCAGTTCCTTATCTTCTCCCCACCACTCTCTCTCTCTCTCTCTCGTTCTTTCTCTCTTTCTCTCACACACAAATGAGCTTATGCAAATAATAATACCCTGACCTAGCCAGTTTATTTAGTTGCAAAACTATTTCGAAAAGGAATGCTCAGGGTATGATTTTTTCTTTTTTAGAAAAAGTTGTCCAAATTCTGAGTGTTGTCTTAGAATCACAGTCTTCAAAGATCACATGTCACTGTAATCCGGCAAACATACAGCGGTGTACCTTACAACCTGTCGTCCATTTTCTTTGACACTGTGCGTATTATCATTAATGGTAGAATCGTCAACAAAAAGACCACATTGGCCTTACTTTGTTTATGAACTCAAGTGGGAGGGGAGAATTTCCATTTCTGTCCTTTCTGATGGACCACCCAGAATGCAAAACTGATTAATTTGGGGGAGGAGTAAAATAATTATTTTGTTTTATTTAAGGCATAGACTTAAGGGTGAGGTACTGATTGCAATTTTACAGAACAGAGGCTGGGAGAGGGGATGATGCCTTTGCCGGAGCTGCAGCAACTGTCAGATCAGGGTAGAGTACAACAAGAGTGTAGTTGGAAGGGAGGAGGAAACCGATTATAGGTCAACTGAGAATTATGAAGGTTTCAAAGCAGCCAAAACAGAAGAAGGCTTTGTATATGGTTGTCTGTAGGCGAAATAAAAGGCCCGGAGACTGAAAGACGCAAGAGAGATGATGCAGCAAAGATGGGGTTAGGCAGGGAAGGGGGGGAGTGCTGAGCAGACAACTGAGAAGAGGGCTGTGGCCGCAGTGGTCTCTGACCAACTGTCGTGGGGGAACGGTGAGAACAGGGAAGAGTAGCATCTAATAAAAATGGCTTGTGTTTATTCATGCCACACCTACTATGCAATGGTAGCCCACGTGGGTCTTGAGCTGGGCTCCAAAGGCTATATCGCTAGCTGGATTTTGCCTCATTTTGACTGAGCATTATAACACACTGGGAGAACAGTACCTACCAGTTACCACCCCCTTTGGACTGCTGCTGTCAAGGACAGGGGACTTCAAAAAGTTTATAGAAAATGAAATTATAGTATGGGTTTAGTTTGGTGCTAAAAACGGAAACCCATGTATCACCTTTTTTAATATGCAATTTCCATGTTTTTTTTTGAGTATCCTCTTGTGAATTTTTTTTTTTTTGAGAGGTTTTTGCTATAGGGTATGTGCACTTGTCAGAAAGACAGAGAGACAGGAAATGAGAAACTACCGCCCAGGGGGGATGGCCATACCACGATCCCTTCTCCTCCCTTCTCCTCTCAGGATCTTGGGCGCTGCACACACACGCGCCTGGTGTGCATTTAAGCCACTGGGTCTGGGACTTGAACCATGGTCGACTACATGGGAGTCCAGTGACGTAGCCATTACACCAACTGCTGGTCCCACCTCTTGTGTAATTGTCATGTTTCCTTATTTGTAATGTCAAAAGTCTAGGGTTACTTCTAAGTCTGTTCCTTAGTTTTGTGGAATTTTCACTGGCCTTGATATTTAGATGAAGCCAACTTAAGTATTTTCATCCACACATATACAATAATCACTAAGGTAGTTTCTTCTTTTATTAATTCACCAGAGAGAGACAGAAAGAGGGAGAGAGAAAGCAAGAACAGATCCTCCATGGGGTGGTCACACCACAATCCTTTTCTCTTCCATTTCCCTTTTCAGGATATTGTCATAGGCATGAAATATGCACACACACCTATTGTGCTTCTCAAGCTGCTGATCTGGGATTCCAACCATGAAGTCAGCCGTGTGGGATCCAACTGCCTTAACCACCATGCTACGGGCTGGCCCAAGGTAAATTTTCATAAAATAGAAACCTGAATCTATTCAATAGTTTGGAACAAAATTCCTATTACAATTCTTGCACATCCTAGTATTGAACAAAGTTTTCTGTTTGATTGATAGCAATTGTCCTTTTTATTCGGATTTACTATGTACGATATATTCTTGAAAACATTTTAACTTTGTATAATCATTGAAGATGCCAATATGTAGGTAGAAGATAGTTTACAATGACTATTTCCTATTGATTTAAACAATGCCATTAAAATTCAGATAAATTTTTCAATAATATCATTTTTCCAAAAGGGTGCCAGAAAGTTATTATTTTTGACTATTTGTGATGGGGTGCAGTAGGCACATTAGGATGAGGCTTTTTGGCTTTACATTGCCTGAAATCAAAGACTTAAATCCTCTTCAAAAGGTTATCTTTTTAGCTAGTGCTCCATTTCTTTTTTTTTTATTTTTTATTTTTTTATTTTTATTATCATCATAATCTTTTTAATATCACATTGGATTACATATAACTTTACACTGTATTACATTGCTTTTTCAAAAGGGAATGCCATGCATGTCAGTCAATACAGAGACATTAATCTCCCCACTTCAACATTCAATATCTTTTCTATGTTTTTCCCAATCATTATTATTATTATTCTAGTTATTTTTTAAAACAATCAATCACTATTTCTCATTTTGCTTGTAAAAAGACTTTACACATCATGAAATACTTCTCAGACCAATCCAGTTGAGAATACTATACCTGTCCTCATCAACGGGTAATAAGCCATATCTGTTTCTCACTAATGTCCTGCCTCTCTATTGTTCCCTTGCTATCTTTCTCTATCCTCTTCTCTTCACCTCCCTCATTCCACACTGTCCTATTCTCGTTAAGTACCTTTACTGCTTTTATATCCTCCAATTTTTCGCTCTCTACCATAGAGTGTGGAGAGTCGGTATATATTGAGTGGATACATACAATATCTTTCTTTCATAGCCTGGCTTACTTCACTCAGCAACAGATCCTCCATATTAGACCACTTTCTATCAAATTCCAGGGTCTTGTTATTTTTTATGGCTGAGTAGTATTCTTGAGAGTATATATACCACACTTTTCCAATCCATTCATCAGTTTGTGGACATTTAGGTTGGTTCCATGCCTTGGCAATTGTGAATAATGCTGCAATAAACATTGATGTGCAAGCACTTTTCTGACTGAGCATTCTCCTGTCTTTTGGGTAAATACCCAGAAGTGGGATTGCTGGATCAAATGGTAGTTCTATCTGTAGATCTTTGAGGAACCTCCATATTGTTCTCCACAGTGGTTGAACTAGTTTACATTCCCACCAACAGTGTAGGAGGGTTCCCTTTTCACCACATCCCCGCCAACACTTATCACTTTTTATATTCTTAATCGTTGCCATTCTGACAGGGGTTAGGTGGTATCACACTGTGGTTTTTATCTGCATCTCCCTTATGATGAGAGATGTTGAGCAGTTCCTCATATGCTTTTTGGCTGTTCGTATGTCTTCCTTAGAGAGATTTTTGTTCAGCTCATTTTCCCATCTTTTAATTGGGTTAATCATTTTTTTTTTTTTCGCATAAGACTAGTGCTCCATTTCTAAACATGTTTGGCAAAATCGACAAAGGGAATTTCTTGACCAGTTTTTATTCTTTTTTACTAAGAGAAAAGAATTTCCCATCATCATAGCAGCAAGGTTACTGAACACTTCACATGAGAAAAATATCGTCTAGATGATGTGCTGACAAAAGAATGACAAGATCTGAGAAAATACAGTTGTGGAAATGATGTGCGTGCTTGTCCTCCGAGTTCCAACCATTTTGATTTAGTCGACTTTCGGCTCATAGTTAGGAAATACTCTAATAATTAGTGCATTCAGCTGCCATTTTATGGCCCTTTAGAGACATCCAGGCACGCATTCATCTATCAGGCATTTAGATTTTGCCTATTGTCTACACAGACTACACGAAATGCTGGAATCTACTTTGTTGTCATTGTTCAACTAACCAACCACTTAACAAATGAGATGACAGCAAGAACTAAAAACAGCTTTCTTTCATTTTCAACTCAAGCATTTAAAATTTTCCAAACTAGGGAACCAGCAGTTGGCTTAATGTCGCTGGACTCCCATGTAGTCAACCATGGTTTGAGTCCCAGAACTGGTGGCTTAAACTCACACCGGTGTGTGTGTGCGCGTGCCCAAGATCCCTAGAAGAGAGTGGAGAAGAAGGGATTGTGGTGTCGGCATCCCCCCTGGGGGGGCGATTTCTCACTTTCTGTCTCTCCGTCTCTCTCTGTCTTTCTGATGAGTGCATGAGCCCTATAGCAAAAACCTCTTGGGGGAAAAAAAGAAAAAAGAAAAAAAATTTCCAAACTAGTAATCCCATTTGAAAATAAAAGTGTTAGTGTTAGGTGTGGATTGGTTTTCCAAGGGAAGCATGCTTACAGTGGTGCCAGTCACAGGTTACGATTGTTTTTAGCATCCAAGGGGGGACAGTCGGAAGGCTCCTTGAACAATCTGCCTAGGAAGCAAAGTTTGCCTACAAGCAGCTCCTGCTTTTCTGTCTTTATCCCTCTCATATTTTTAGCAGTCCCTCTTCTCCATTATTCATTGTATTCATTTATTCATCCCATTCACAAGCCAAATAATTATTTTTCAAACAAGAGTAAGACATTTTGGAGAAACAAAGACATGAAAATGAGAAACTCTGTGCAAGGCAGCTGCTCTGGGACCCCCATATGTCACTATTTTTAAAATGGGTCTATTCAAAGGTTGAGAACCATTGTTCTAGTATTCCTTCTTCCTTTAAATATCATGTTACCCTGGCTTTGATATCATTTCCCAGTCCTGTAGTGATGAGCAGGAAAAGGAATAACTTCAGAGAAAATATTCATTTATCTCATTCTTGTAAAAAAATAAAATACTGAATGAAACAGCAACAGTGATAACAGATTGTTCTCTTCTGTAAGTTCTTGAAGTAGAGAATTAAAAATTGCCCCCCTCCCCGTCTCTTCTAAAATGTAGAGATCTTGGGTATCAGTAAGAAAGTAAGGGAGTAAAGTGGAAAGATAGGTATTTCTTTGCATGTGTACAGTTGGAGACATTCAGCGAAGAAACATGGTCATCCATGGAAGGGGATGAGGTAAGGTCAACCAATCCAGTAAGATAGTAAAGTCTTGGACAAAGGGTATGGAATAGTAGTAGGAGGTCTGATTTGTTTTGACAACAGAGTTTTAGCATTTATTCCAATATATTTCACAATATTAGATCTGTGGCCAAGTTATTAAGCCAATTTATACGACCTAAAAACACAAAAACAAAACACAACTTGCAAATCAGAACTAAGGTCCAACCCCTAGTGTGATGAATAGGGGCAGGAGTTAGGGAACTCCCACCAAGAGCTCCAATATTTGGCCACTGTTATGACATTGTGAAATATGCTGGAATAGATACAAAAAGTTTGTTAGCAAATAAAAACAAAGTAAAACAACGTAGAAGAGATTTATTTTGAAATGTTGAACTCTGGTGCCTGAAAGCCTCTTTTCTATGTGTTTTCTTCATGTCATAGATTGTGAAGTAGAACAGAAAGCCCATGATAGCTCAGAACCAGATTCCAACTCTGGTTTCTTCACTACTCCATATGGACACTGGGTTTACAAATCAGTTCTCTGGGCTTCAGATGTTTTATCCATAAACTGAAGGATAATATCTATTTCAAAGAGCTATTGTCAGAATTAAATAAAAAACAAATAATACAGTTGAGACTCAATAATTTCAAGTCTTAATCTCCTCTTTTCTTTGTCCATTGTCACTGTAACCTCTAAGGCAGCTCAAATTCTTGTGGTATAGGGGAGATACAGTGTTGTTTTTCACTTCCCTTTTTAAAAAATTGAAATACAATTTATATAGCAAAATAAATCATTTTTATTTATTTATTATAATTTCTAATTTGCATGCAATATTTGTCTATACTTATGAGTTATGATGTGGTTTTTTAAAATATGTATACAACATCTAATGACCAAATCAGGGCAAAAACACATCCTCTATCCCTGACATTTATAATTATATCAAGTTGTATGTATTTGAAATATAATCTTTTGTCTATTTTCAAGCATATGTTGATTTGCCACCAACTGTTTTTATTTTGCTCTGCTACAGTGTTTGGTAATCTATTCATTCCACTTATTTACATACACTCTTGTATCTGTTATCCACATCTGGGTAGATATAAATTTATGTAACACAAATCTGCTAATGGTCGAAGTTAAGTCTTGGGGTGAGGGTGGGAACTAGATTGTCCAAGTCTAAGCATAGCAGAATCTTCTGCCATGAATAACCTTGCTCCAGTCATTGAAGGAAAGTGACTGATTATTTTGGATCTTCTGCTTATGTACAGATGAGATTTTACTCTAGATTAGGGGCAGCAAGCTCAAAGGCCAGCAGGGCCATTACAGGTCTGGGGTTGGGTGTGGGAGCTTTGGCACATTGGGGAGTGAGTCTAAGTTCTCTTCAAGAGGCAGCCTCTCCTTATGTCCAACATGTTATTAGCATGCAAGGATTTAGGCTCAGATGTTGCTAGATTTGATTTTTTAAAGAAAAGTCAGATCCATAGTTACTGTAAAATCTCCCAATTTTTAAGTGTTGACAACTAATTCCATTTTCTTTCAACATCATGTAGGCCAAACCAAATATATCTGAATACAGCCTGTGTGCCACTAGTCTGCAGCCTTCGGATTTCAAAGACCTTTTCCACTTCCAGGGCTCTCTACTCTATGAGCTCAAGAATAATGGCATTCGTCTCACATGAGAGGCTCATCCTAAAAATTAGGAATGCAGTTACACTCCCACTTCAAATAAGTGTTTCCTCTTGTTAGTTTTTCACTCTCCTTAATTAATGTTACCTCCCAGGAAACGCTTACGCAAACAGTATCTTATTCCAAAGTTAAAAATAATCATATTTCCTGTTACTAAAGCACATAGGCTTAATTTTTTGCATGTCAGTTATGTCTTTTCAACATGTCTGGTAGCTGGTTTCAATTTCCCTAGAGCCCAACTTTATTTTGTGCCAACTCTTGGGAGGTAAAACTTCAGTTAGTTTCACATTTATAAAGCAGAGTATTTTATAAGTCTTACGGAAACAGTCTTCCATCCCACCTGTTTTTCACTAAAATGTGTCTTCCAGAAATTCATATCTTGAAGCTTTAACTCTTTGTGTATTTTATATAGGGCCTTCGAGGAGGTAAGTAAAGTTAAATTAGGTTGTAAGGGTAGGATTCTAACCCTGGACTGGTATCCATATAAGAAGAGGATGAGACAGAGGAGTATGATGTATGCGGGGACACAGTGACACATCAGCAAGCTGGAAAAAAGAACAACTCACCTGAAACCAACCCTACTGAGCCTTGATCTTAAATCAAATCCAGAACTGTGAGAATTTTTAGTTCTTGTTTTTCACCTGGTCTGTGGTATTTTGTTGTTGAAGTTCAAGCAAGCTCTTATACCACCTATAACTAGCTTGATGTCTTTAGTGTTTGATGTCTTTGGGGTTTTAGGCTCCTTAAAAGTTCTAGTTATTTTCAAGGGTAGTAAGTAGCATAGTGATTAAGGCACTGGACTCTCACAAAGTCAACTGTGGTTCGAGTCTTGGAGCTGGAGGCTTGAAAATCATTTCAGGCATGTCTGTGTGTATTCTTAAAATCACAGGAAGAAGGTGGAGGAGAAGGGATTGTGGAGTGGCCATTTCCCCTAGGGGTAATTTCTCACTTTCCCTCTGTTTTCTCCAGAGAGCACATGTGCCCTATGGAAAGAACCTTAAAAAGAAAAATACTACTTTGAAACTCCTTTTCCCATCTAACTTTCTGCTCAAGACATTATGGAAATTTTTGCATCTTCAAATCAAGAGACCCCACTTTGGGAAATACATCAAACTATTGATGATACCGAACCCAAACCATTTGGTGACTCACCCATAAAATGTGAGATAGAGGAAGCCAATCCTCTTCCCAAGTTTTAAGACTTCTCCTCGCTTGTCAGATGCTCCTGTGAGTCGCACTATGCCCACCTTCTTGAGGCTGGAGAGCCACGTGTATGCATGCTCATCATTTTTTAAAACATCTTCAAAATCCAGAGTGGGTAGCTGTAAATCTGAGCCCCAGTACTGATGTTCTGTGAAATAAGAAAATAGAAACATCAGTTGAGATTACATTGTTTTTATACATAATGACAACCTCAGAGAGGGGGTTAGTTCATTAGAGTTGCTCTTTGATTTATCAAGCAGTTTAGTAAAAGTAGATCATGCTAGAAATGCCCAAGTCATCTGGTCTCTTCCTAGGAACCAGGTGTATGTCCTGCCAGTAACTATGTTTGACCCATAACAGGTATGCCATGTAGTCTACTTGTGAAAGGAATGTTGTTCAGCTTGACTGGCTCTTTGTCTGTATGTCCTAAAGGCTGCTCTACCTAGACTCTGCTTAGAAATAAACTAAGATATTATGTGTGTTGACAGTCAAGTGATGTTGCTCAACTCTGAGCAGTTGACAAAATCAGATTGGTGAGCTAGAACAGCATCTGCCTCTTCTGGATTGGTGGTGGTATTAGCCATGGTAGATGTAGATAATTTTTTTCCTGACTTCACTCGATAAGAAGCCATCTCAGGGATGAGTTGTTCTTTGGAGTCAGCAAAAGCTGGCCACGAAGAGGAAAAGATGAGGTTAACTTCCTGGCCAGCATAGACCTTTGGTGGCAGTGTCACAGGAGATAAAGTCAAATGCTTCCCCTTAACTCTCCTATTCTTGATGAGTACATGCTCATACAAATGTTTACCTGTGAGAATAGCTAGTGCAAAAAATAATTGGCTTGCAAACCAGGCTCTTCCAAAAAGAAGTGGAACACAGAGGAAATTTAAGTTTGCCGAAGGAAACAGTCCAGATATTAACAATAGCATTTAAGAAAGACCTAGCTCTAATCCATTCAATTCCATCTTTCCTGGGGAAGGAAATTGCCATAAGAAGGCAAACTTTCCTAGCAAGTGTCAGAATGAGAACTTACGACCTCTGTATCATCCTTAATGATGCTTTATTTTTCTAGCTAGAGAATAGGCCACATTATCAAAAACAAGCCCAAAGCCTCCAGTTTAAGAAGGAAGAATGGATTAGTGTTTCTTGCAATAGTTGTGGACTGGAAATAATTTCCTCTTTGATGTTACCATAGCTGTTTCCTCAGAAATAGGAATTTTTTTTGAGGGGGAGTCAGATAGTGGAATTTTTGTAATGAAAAGAAACATGCAAGAGCACAGTCACTTCTTGGTCTTCCATCAGGTAGATGCAAAAGGCCATTTGAAGAGGGAAGTTGTTGTGCATCTGTAGGAAGACCTAATCTGGCTATAAATGAATACATTGCCAATGTTTTTGAGTTATTAAACAGACTGCATAATGAACCTGCATTTTTGTGGCCTAAATTACAAACTGTAAATTAGATTTCCTAATGGCTGTGTTAATTCTCTCAGATGATGCTAATCTTCAGTCTTGAACATTCCACAGGCCAAAATAACTTACTCTGTTTTCTCAGGAAATGAAGCCGGTATCTAGCCACTGCTTCCTATTTTCTCATTTTAACTCATTTCTCTCTGCAGAACTAAGCAGAAGTGAAAGGACTACAGCTTCTCCTGCTCCTTTTTTTGGCTCTTTTTAACATTTAATTTTATGTGTGTTAAGCATTGTTTTCAGTGCTTTCCATATTTAAGAAAACCTGAGAATTTAATATTTACTAGGTCACCTTGGCGAAGAGGAGCAGATCAGCACATGGGCCAAGTGTCAGACCAGAACAGACTGATGAGAAGATTACCAGACAAGGAGGCATGAAGATTTCAAGGTAATGATGATCATTTTGGGGGGATAAAGAAGATATATTTTTTAAGAAGATATTTTATATATACTTTCATGATATCCCTTTATTAGCTACCCAATAGTCATTTGTTGGTTTATCTTTTCAAAAAGTATAATATTTTACCATGTTGAGAGGCATTGTAATAGGCAGTATGTAAGGACTTCACAATCTATGGGAGACTCAGACGTGGAAGCTGACAACTTAAATGCAATATGATAGAAGCTATAGTTGAGGTATGTTTGAGACACCACAGATGTCTCAGCCTTCTGATCCCTACCTCACGCTCTGTCTACGGTGCCCAGCTTCTCTTACGTGCACCAATGCCCTAGGTCTGTCCCTCACGCCTCGCTTACCTCTTCTAAAATCAAATAGTATAGATTTCATATGACAGTTTCTTCTCAAAGAGGCAGCCACTTTGGTTTTGTTTTGAGTGTTGGATTATGTGGCCATTTGTCTTGCCACTCCCATTTGCTCCTTGCATTTAAAGTCCCCAAAGAGTAATATCTGTTACCTATCAAAAAGTTCTGCAAAAAAGATGATGGTAAATATCATAAATAGGGCCTATTGTCTGACTATAAAGGTTATTTTGTTTCCAGGTAGGAGAAAAAATTCCTGGGCAAAATATTAGTACTGAGGGCAAATCATGGAAGCCTTCACCTCGGTGGGTTCTATCCAGTAACTAAAGGAAATACTGAAAACAGCTTCTGGAGTCTCAAGTAGAAATCATGGATCCATAGAATATTAGAGGTGAATGAATTTTTAGACTCATTTGGCATTTTCCTATTGGATTCAGGATTTTCCATAACTGTTAGTTCTTATCTTTGAACGAAAATATTGCCTAAGCGAAATTCCTTAGCATTTCTTTGATTTAAGTTAAAACTGGTTTTCTTAATAGTACCAAGTGAACTTGCTATTGAAAGAATTAGATTATTTAAGAAATTGTGTGATCAATATAATGTGGGGGGGGGGAAGGAATGGAAGACAACTGTAGATACCAGAGACAGTGTGACAAGAGGGTAGGAAAGGACAGAGGGGCAGAAATAGGGGTAAAAAAAATACTAGAAACTAGAAATGGAAAATTTTTGATAATAACATGCATGATTAAGCCACTATGCAGTATATTCTGGATGGGAAATCACATTTTGTATGCTGTGATGATGCTTAGGGAATGAGTGTAAGTTTAGTTAAAAAAAAAAAAAGAAAGGGTTCAAAAAAAAAAACCCTAAAACTGTTTTTCTTGAAATTAAAAAAAAATGCATTAAAAATACCTATACAGGGACCAACAGTTAGTGTAATGGCTATGTTTCTGGACTCCCATGTAGCTGACCATGGTTCGAGTCCTGGACCTGGTGGCTTAAACTCATGCCAGGCACATGTGTGCGCATGCCCAAGATCCCGAGAGGAGAATGGAGGAGAAGGGATTGTGGCATGGCCATACCCCCTGGGGGGTGATTTCTCACTTTCTGTCTCTCTGTCTCTCTCTGGCTGGTGAGCACACGCACCCTACAGTGAAAACCTCTCAAAAAATAAGACAAAACAAAACAAAACAGAACAAAAACCTATACAATGACTGCAGTATGATATATAGCCCCAGCTAGGTGCTACTTTATACAATGTTCATTCTACTCACTGAGGCTTATACCTAAAGTTGCACTTATGTTCATGGAAATGTATATATCAGCTGTGCTTGCTATGAAAATATTTAGATTAATTAAGATCTTTAGTGACTCAATAAAATGTGGGGGGGAAAAGTATAGAAAGCAAACATAGATACCAGAGACAGTGTGGGAGGAGAGTGGGAGATGGCAGAGGGTAAGAGATAGGGAATCAAGGATGGGAAAAAAGAAGCAAAACATACAGGAAATAAGAAATTGAAAATTATTTGTTGATGATAACATGTATGTTGATGTGCTTTATTGAGACAATATACAGTGTACTCTGGATGGAAAATCTCATTTTGTATGCTGTAATGATGTACAGTGAATGAATGTAAATAAATAAATTTTTTTAAAAAAAGAAGAAAATGTTGCCTAAACTGCAGCTGAGGATACTTCTAGTTTTCTGGCATTGTGAAAATCTGTCTAAGGTTAGGTTTTCTATTTCTGTGTAGACTATGGGATGGATCCAGCTTTTGTTTACTTGGCTAGCTACAGTAAATGTGTTGTCTTTACTGCAGATGTTTAATTTATTAATGAGCACTTAAAATATTTAGAAATATTTATTGGGCCCAGCAGATGGCATAATGGTTCTGTCACTGGACTCCCACCTAGCTGACCATGGTTCAAGTCCCAGATCCACTAGCTTAAAACTCACACCAGGTGCATGTGCATGTGTGCCCAACATCCTGAGAGGAGAGTGGGGAAGAAGGACCTGCAGTGTGGCCATCCCTTCAGTGGTGATTTCTCCCTTTTTATCTCTCTGTCTTTTCAGCAAGTGCATGCACCCTACATTAAAAAAAAATCTCTGAAAAAGAGAAATATTTATTACTTCTTGGTGAGAGTAAACCAGCCTAGAGAGATAGCGTGATGTAGACTACAATAGTGTCCAGTAGAATTTTCTACAATGATGGAAATATTCTAGATTCTCGCTGTTCAACATCATGGCTACTAGCAACATCCTTGAGACTCAACATTTAGCTGGTAGAACTGAGGAAATAAATATCTTACTTTTTTAAACTTAAATTTAAATGATCACATCTGACTGCTACTGTGTCAGACAGGATATGTATAGAGAAAACATGAAGTAAAGAAGTCTGAGTATGAATCATTGTCCTGCCTCTGATCAGCTAGTTTCTTGGCCTCTTGTCTGAGCTTCAGTCTCTAACCTATAAAATAGAAATGATTACATGTACCCTGATGGTCTTTTATGACCCTACAATGAAATTATGCAGAGTCTAGACAGTGCCTGGCTCTAGTAGACCCATAATAACAATAATTATTTACCGAGTACATTCTAGGAGTCAGGCACAGTGCTAGATATTTTTTTGCTTTGAATCTCCACAACAAATCCATGGGACAGATCTTCTGGTATTGCCACATTGCAGAGAAGAGAACTGAGGTCCAAGTAACACAGATAATGATTTGCAGAGCTAGCCAGTCAATCAGGGGACTGATTCCAAAATCCATCATTTTGACAACTGTATATAAAATAAACATTTGATTCCTTGAAATACCATCATCACAGGCATTTTTATGTCCCACGTCTGAATTTCGATAGCTTATTCTGTGCCTTACAAAGGAAATCTACTAGACTGAGAAGAAAGCAAAGTGAGTTACAGTGAAGAACACTTCGTCTGAACTTGTTCAAGCCTGGGCGTTTAAAGATAAACCCTGGCTTCTAGTCAGGACTTTAAATAGAGAGAAAACATTATGAGCTGGTTTCATTGCACAACACAGCAACAACATTGCTGGTCACATTTTGTGAAATGAACCAAGGCTTTGCAGACTTAAAAACCAGCGAGGTTATCTTCTTTAATTTATACCAGTATATCTTAGTGTCTTTAGGGTTTTATTTAAGGCCATTATTACTTTCCAGAAAGTTTCAGTCATCATGTGGCAGGGAAATATAATAAATAAGATGAGAAAAACACATTTTCACAAGATGTAATTGTTTTTAAAACTTTGAGGTTATATTTTGACTACATTATTTACACAAGAAGGATGTTTAGGGCATACATATTATATATTTACAGCATGCTTTAATGACTAGTTATTTCTATGGAAGTTATTTTATCATTATAAAATAACACAGACATACACACACAAACACACACTTTGTTTTAAGAATACAGGAAGATCTAGACTCTTAATTAGTGTGTTACTCTTTAGATTTGTAAACTTGACTATATTACACAAAAGAATAAAGCAAAACTTTCAATACAATAAACAGCATAATCTGTACTATAGATAATTTCATCTTTGTAGGATTTTATCATCAGAATATGGATACAGTGATTTTTTAAAGAGGTTTTTGCCTCAGGGCACATGTGTTAGCTTGGAAAAGAGAGACAGAAACAGTGAGAGGGAGAGACATCACTCCCTAAAGAAGATGGCCACACTGCAGTCCCTTCTCCTCCATTCTCCTTCTGGGCTCTTGGGCATGCAGACACACACACCTGGTGTGATTTTCAAGCCACTGGGTCCAGGACTCAAACTGCAGTCAACCACGTGGGAGTCCAGTGATGTAACCACTATGCCATCTGCTGGCTCCAGTTACAGCGATTTTTAAGTCGTGAAATTTATCATTTTCTAACCAGACTTTCACTTTGGAGTGCCCTGGCAGAAGCTTTCTTGAAATCAGAGACGAAAGGCCACAAATACATCCCTGAACCTGTGACTCAGTATGATCTGCTTGTACACTCATACGTGTGGCTGTCAGAGGACAGTGCTGTAACTAGCTACTTTCCAGTTTATCATCGTGTCTCAGATGTATTATTTCCTAATTTTTGTAGAAAAATAATACTACATTTCATTAAGCCTTCTGGGAAAATAATTTTGTGATATCTGCAGAGAATATTAAACTTTAACATTGAAAGAGTAATTTAAAATCATTTTCCCTCAACTGCAAAAACATAACTACAGGGGAAACCAACAGAAAATACATTTGACTAGAGTAAATCATTTGTCAGGAGAATATATTAAAAACAACTTTAAGTTTCACACTTGGGTCTGGATACATAAACAGTATGGAAAATGATGGAATATTTAAGGTATGAACCACTCTTCTTAATTTAACTTATGGCCTTACTAATAAATACTTCCTTGAACATGTGCTTCACACATCATAAAATTTATACACAGGCTACATGCTGGCTTTCAAGGAACCATTTGTATAAGGTTTCCTGCTCAGGGTTAAGCATCAGATTCCTGGATCCTGAGTTGTATTTCCAAAAAGGAAAAGACACAAAGAGGTTCTTTAGTTGAAGGTTCGTGAGGGCGGCCTGCTGGGTTGCAGTGTGTTATTTCAAGAGTTTAGGACCTTCTGTCCACCTGCCCTGAACTGCGCTGTTGGCTCTAAAACAGCTTGTCTGATGTGCAGGGGAAGTCATTCTCTTCCTGTCTTTTTCTACAGATACCTTCAAGGGACCCTGACCAAAACAAGATCTTTCCCTTGTAGGGCAAGTCACCTCGGAGGACATAGGGGAAAGTCACCTTGGAGGAAATAGAGTTTTGAATCACCTCCCTGAACCATGGGGATCCTGCTCTCTTCAGAGGTATTTTACTTCTTGTCCAGCAAACTCTACAAATTTTTCACGACTTCAGGCATTTGTCTTGTTTTCTGTGAAGATCTTTCTGACATGAGGATTTGAATGCAAGAAACTTACCATGGAGGTTGGTATTCATTAAGTTCCTGAAAGCACTAATACAAGACAGGGGTGCAAGCCTGGGAAGAAAGCCTCTGGAAGGAGTTTTAATGGATGAGTTACTGCCTTTGGCAACAGAGGCTCAGCACCTCTGGACCTCCTAGACACAACATAGAATATGCTTCAGAGATGTACCTGGGACAAGGGGAGCTGAGATGTAAAGGCCGCCCTTGCCCATCCTTCACGGGTTGAGGGCTGCTCTCTGGGTTCCCACTCCTGCGTCTTTTTGGCCTTCCATGGGAGCTGGCCAAGCGAGCTCCCTCGAGAAGGAAAGGAGAGTGGGGTCTTGCAATGGGAAGCTGCTGGCGTGTGTGGGCCAAGTGCTGAGGGCATCGAGGGGCTCTGACAGCCTCTGCAATGCCCTTCCTCAGGGAACCTTCTGCATCTGCTGAGGGTGGGTTAGGTGTCTTTTCTGGCCACCCAGAACTCCTATATACCTCACACGCTGCTTACCACCCTGTAAGTTCTTCACTTACTCAACATGGACAAGGGGGTCTTCAAAATGTTCATCCAAAATGTATATTATGAGAAAACTATGCATGGATTTCAAATTTTGTATTTTTTTTGCACCAAAGTAGCCTTATTTTAATTCCATTTTCCATGAACTCTTTGATGTGTTCTCCTATTTATTGGAAACCTTTCTCAGGGAAAAAAAAAGAGATGGCTTTTGTGAATAAAGATAGATATGATTGCTGCTCTTGCTGGGGAAAAAGGTGCAATCAAATACATAAAAAGTGAAGCAAACACATAAAAATTGTAGTGAGTACTATGGGGAAACAAACAGGGTATATTGACAAATGATTGTTGGGAGCAGGATGGGGCTCTTACTTAGACATGGCAGTTAAGAAAGGCCTGCTGGGGGCCAGCAGGTAGCTTGGTGGTTAAGGTACTAGAGTCTCACATGGCTAATGTGGTTCAAGTCCTGGACCTGGCGACTTGCTTTCTCATTTTCCCTCTTTCTCTCTCTCTCTTTCTCTTTGTCTCTCTCTGGTAAGCATATGTGCCCTGTAGCAAATTCAAAAAAGAAATAATGATGATAAATAAAATAAAATAAATAGTTCTTAAGAAAAAAAAAAGAAAGAAAGGCCTGCTGAAGAGAATTTATTTTAAGCCCAGTTTTGGGGAGTGGATGAAACCCATTATACAAAGGGTGGGGAGAAGAATATTGAGCAGGGAGGGATGGGGGAAGATGAGAAATCTAGTGACTTGTTTGAAGAACACAATCTCACAGAGGTTAGAACACAGGAGGCAGGCTGGGGTGGGCTGCAGATGAGACAGAAAAGGAGGCACGAGCTGAGTTATGAAGGACTTCATGTGTTTCTTCCACCAGACTACAAGCTCCTTGTGAATCTCGGGGCTCGCCATTTATCTCTATTTCCTTACCAGTACTGCTGTCTTTCCTTTCCCGCCTGGCATGCAGTGAGCACCGGCACTCAGAATGATATTCCAAACTAATGTGTGCTATATCCTAAACAAATCTTTGCTTTCTTTCTTTTATTTGCTGTGGGGTGCATGTTCTCACCTAGAGAGAGACTGAGAGAGAGAGAGAGAGAAGAAAGAGAAAGTGAAAAATCACTTCCCAAGGGATGGCTGTGCTGCAATCCTTTCTCCTCCATTCTCCTCTCAAGATTTCAGGCATGCGAGCACATATGCCCAGCCTGTTTCTCAAGTCACTGGGTCCAGAATTTGAACTGTTCAGCTATGCATGAGGGACCCAGCTGCCTTACCCACTAGACCACCTGGCTGATTCTGCTTATGTTCTCTTTAAAGATTTAGTTATTTAACTTTATTTATTATTATTATTATTTTAATTCCCTAGAGACAGACTGAGACAGAGAGAGAGGGAGAATGAAAAGTAAGCTACCAGGTCTAGGACTCAAACCATGGCCACATGGGAGTTTAGTACCTTAACCACTATACGACCTGCTGGCCCCCTGCTTACTTTCTAATGATTACTATAGACTAGCGGTGACCCCTGAAAAATAAGATTGTATCTAAGTTTACCTTAGCATTGTAATAGTTGAAGAAATCGATCAAATTTCTCTATATGATAACCCCACCACACTCAAAAAGTCTCCCTGAGAATGTATAGATGAAGCTTCTAAATAAGTTTAAGTTGCTTGGAAGGAAAGAGACACGTTTTCATTCTGGACTATGATGTACCTGGCGTGTTCTACATACTCAGCCCTATGAAAAAATGAACATTTAGTTGGAGAAAACAAAAACAAAAGTCAATGAAGGAACAGCACTTGACAGTGTATGATAAGGACTCTAGAAAATAATGGGATAACATGTAGTGGCACTTGGGATTCCAAGCATTCTTCTAAGCACTTTATAAAGACTAATTCATGTAACCCACTCCATAACCCATGGGAGATGTTTTACAATTGTTCCCATTTTATAGACGAAGAGATGGGCACAAGAACTTGGGTCACTTGTTCAACAGCACCCAGTTAGTACATGAGCTAGGATTCCCAACTCCTGGATTGGAGACATTGAGTCAAGAAGTTGTATGCTGAAGACAGACAAGCACCAAAGACACCAGGAAGAGAGATATCTTAGACTTCTGGAGAGCTGGCAGGGAAGGCAGCTAATTCAGTCCTACCCTCTGTCCTTGCTGTGACCGTCTTTTAAGGTAAGAAAGTTATGGAAAGTCCTCTGGATCCCTTTCAGCTACATGGCACACACCTCCCCATGGAGCAGCGGGATTCAGAGAGCTCCCGTGGTCACAGCTGTTTCCTTATTTGGAGCGCAACACACCATGGTGACTTATTGTTTCATTATTAATTTTTAATTTCCCAGAGGGTGCGTGCACTCACCAGAGAAAAGAGAGAGAGAGAGAGAGAGAGAGAGAGAGAGAGAGCGAGAGCAAGCATTCCTTCCTTCCCAGTAGAGCATGATCACTCTGTGATCCCTTCTCCTCCAACTTTTCTCCTTCCAGGTCCTTGGGCATGCACACACATGTGCCTCGTATATCGCCCAAGCTCCTGGGTCTGGGACTTTCACCATGAGGTCAGTTGTATAGGATCCAGCCACCCTAACCACCAGGACACAGGCTGGCTCTACACTCTTTCTTTTAAACCCTAATTCTGTGCTTCAGAATCACAGAATAAGGCAGATTTGGAGGTGTACATAAAGGCAGCTTCTGCACTAAGTTTTTCTTCCAGACAATAAGTAGCCTCTCTCCCTTCCCTTCCTTTTCTTTTATGGAAGCCAAATTCTCCACTATCCTCTCTGCTCTTCTTGGACTGGTGTGTTGAGGTTTGCTGGTGCCCCTTGACAGCGTCGGTGCCTGGAATAGGACCTAGTGCTATAGGCGTGGTATGACCTATCCCTGCATGCAGAGTTTTCTATTTCATTTGTATTCATACAGCCTATATCTTACTAGTCTTTTTTTGACAGTTCCCATTCTGTTGACTCTAATTAACCTTCCAGTCTACCAGAACAGGTAAGAACTAAGTGCTTGTTAGTCAAGGCTTCTGTACTCAGGCACTTTATTTCTGAAGCTAACTCACTGAGAATTTACAGAACACATCTGAGACGAAGCTCCAGTCGAATCGGGACATTGTGTCAAAGTTCGTTATTCGACATTTGAAGGTAATGGGTCTAGATTCAAATCCTAATTCTGACACTTCCCATCTGTATGACCTTTGGAAAGTGGGAAATTCTCCAAATTTGGCTTTTTCTTCTGGAAGCTACGGGGTGAAAACAAGCTATAGAATTGTGAAATTTAAACAAGAGGCTATGTATGAAGGACTTTACATAGCATGCCTGGTAGCTGATTAAATCTGCACTTGGGCCATGGCAGCCGAAAGTGGATGACTAGTCTTATTGTACGAGCACTGGTCTGTCATTAACTGCGTCTTACACCTCGGAGCTGACGGTTCCTGACCCTCTCTATCCTCAACCCCCCTACACTTCCTTTTCCTAATTATGCTCGGCTGATGGCATTCCTTTTGATTTTGGCAAAATTAAAAGACAAGAGGGCCTTCTGTCTACTCCTGTCATCACACCTAACAATCCGCCTGTGTTTATGTTCTGACGGCCACTTCATATACTTTTTTTTTTTTTTTGAGAGAGATTTTTTTGCTGTAGGGCATATGTGCTCACCAGAGAGACAGAAAGTGAAAAATCATCCCCCTCAGGGGGATGGCCACACTGCAATCCCTTCTCCTCCATTCTCTCGGGATTTTGGACATGCACACACATGTGCCCATTGGGAATTTTAAGTCGCTGGGTCTGGGACTCAAATAGCAATCAGCCACATAGGAGTTCAGCACCTTAACCACCATGCCACCTGCTGGCACCAATATGTTTGCAAGTATGTTCCTCTCTTTCTCCACTAAGATGTAAACTTCCAAGGGCGGGCAGGGTCTTTTTCTGTTTTGCTCACCAATGAATCCCTCGCACCTAAAACCTAGTACCTGGTACATGCCAGACACTAAGTATAATGAGTAAATAGCGCACAGAGCATGGTAGGTCATTAATAAGTGGTATCTATTAGTCACACTAGTTATTTCCAAATTTCAACTGTTGAGGGAAGAAAGTCGAGTACACAATGATCACGGAACAGTAAGTGCGGTGACGGAGAGAACACCTGGAAGGAGAGGGAGATGGAGGGACTGTCTTTAATGCCGCAGATGCTCCCAGACAGATGTTGACTCTACTTCTTGCTTCTTTGATTTTGGCTAACCATTTATATCAGCTTCATTTTTCCCATGTGTAAATAACTATAATAATGATGCTACCCTTGTGGAGTAGGG